CTTGCTTAACATCTAAAGAGTATTATAATATATAAACGCATTTAAAAATTGTTTTAAATATTTGTAAATTTATTTATGTATTTTAACTCTTTTTATAGATGGTAAAGGGCTTCATGATAAAATTGTGTGATCTTCTAGAAGTCCTACCAGTAATATATTCAATAAAAATTTACCTTGTACATATTATTCTGGAAAATAAAATTTAAAAGGCATTTAACCGGGAAGTTCACGCTTCCTTCCTTACCGTGACGCGTAAATATGTCCAAGGCTCGTTTTGAACCTGGATCTCCTGCTTATAAATCAAGCACTCTAATCTTCCTATTAAAACTATTTGTTTATATTTTTAAGGTATTGTGACCATTCCAGTGGAAATTTCAGTGGAAAATTGCCGCAAGCACTCTTGTGAACACCGGGATAGGAATTAAGTAATATTGTTTATTTTCGCAAATTAATAGAGTTTGGAGATTTTTTGGAGGCTTAAACACTGGTGCGTATCCTGCTTTTTTAAAAACTTTTTTTAACCTAGGACTGATTCAAGGGATCCAGGGTAAAGACACAAATTGTTTTGGAGACATTAAGAAATGTTGATTTTTCGTGAGATCTTTATATATATATTTATCTTTATACACACACACATATATATATATATATATATATATATATATATATATATATATATATATATATATATATATATATATATATATATATATATATATATATATGTATATATATATATATATATATATATATATATATATATATAAATATATATATATATATATATATATATATATATATATGTATATATATATATATATATATATATATATATATATATATATATATATGTATATATATATATATATATATATATATATATATATGTATATATATATATATATATATATATATATATATATATGTATATATATATATATATATGTATATATATATATATATATATATATATATATATATATATATATATATATGTATATATATATATATATGTATGTATATATAACGAGCCTTGGACAGATTGAGGATATTGTAAAAATATCCTCAAACTGACACTGAGACTTGGAAATATACTTTCTAGTTTGCACTCTGTCAAAGCATTTAATATTTCCAGTGCACCCAAATCTTTTGTCCCGAAATTGGCTTTGTGAATCATTTATCTGTGTTTCATTTCTTGCACAAAGTCTTCACTGACAATATCTTTAAAATATTTTCTTGGAAAATTAGATGCTTCATGTATTAATTTCTCCTTTGACATTTTTTAGTAGTTCCAAACAAAGCTGAAGGCTAGAGAAATCTTTTTTTTGGCGCTAAAACAAACTGTAAGTCCTCCTAACAAATTATCCAATACTACATTAAAATTTTCGGGAATTAGGATTCCAAGGGATATTTGATTGACTACTCATTTTACCTACATTTTTATAGAGATTGTTTTCTGCTTCGTTTCTAAACAATTTTATTTCTATATCAAGGCTAGATGCAACAAGCTTCATTCTACATTGCTTTCCAACTGTCAGAAATAGCTAATAATTGTGAAAGTAAGATTTCTATATTTGAAATTTCCATGTGTAAAGTCGCGTTACTTGCTTGAATGACTTTGTTGCAAATGATAGAAATTAATATTCTGTGCCACACAGCTGATATTATGATATAGGTAAAGGTATTAATATAACAAATTGTTACACGAATCTTGTTTTTAGTTTTTAAAGTAATATTTAGCTGGAGCAAGTCTTTCGAAGCCAGCTTTACTCGTGAAAGGTGAGCTACAAATGGTTTGTAGCTCACCTTCAAATGGACATATTTGGCGCATTGTCATAACTTTGAGCCCTACAATCAGCGAGTAGAATAGCATTACTCTCTAATGTTTTTCTAATTATTCGAGCGATTTTACAACCTTTTTTGTCTCCACAATCTACAAACTTTAAAAATCACAATTTCATATCGCGGTTCATGGCGAACTAGTTAACGTTAAATAAATGTTGTTTGTTCTACATGAGATGAATCTGTTGCTGAATCTTCTATTGCGTAGTACTTTGCAGAATGTCTTTCTTCCAAAACATGCTGCCTAACAAGATCAGAAAACTCTGCAATAAACTCATTTTGAGAATCATTTGAGAAGTAATATACTTTTTTTTGTGAACGCTTTTCTTTAGAATAGGGTCTCATTTAGAAAGCTACTTTATCAGACCTAATAAATTTCCATTATTTGAGTCACCAATGCGCTGCGAAGATCCTTGAAAAGCAAGGCAACGTTCTTCTAAGAAAAGGATAACATCAATAATTCTTCTCAAAAAACTTGGTCCAATTTTTCCGATTTCACTTCAATTCATGATTCAATAAAATTATCAATACTGTCTTGCATTAAAAGACGTCATTCTAATTCACCCCACGCTTGATAGGATTCTTTATAGAAAAAAAGAAATCAAGATTTAATAGAAGAAATAGAATTAAAGAAGCCTTATGCTTGCTCTATACAAGCCAGTCTCGGGTAAACTAATCTGCATTAATGTTTCTAAACTTTAACATACCTTCTGTAAATTTTTGAATATTATCATGTTTTGGCAATTTTAAAGGAAATTCAATATGACCTCTGGTAATAAAACTATTTCTTTCTGATTGAGAAGAAAATTCTGCTGTGATGAATACAATGTCAAGTTTTGTACATGATTAGTGAAGTGAATCACTACTTAATTTAGAATTTTCTGTAGCATCAGTTCAAGGTTCAGAATTAATATATATATATGTCAATCATATTTATATGTCAATTTTTTTTCCTTAGTTGCTATTTTATTTTCGCGTTGGCTAATTTGTTAATGAATGCCATTTTCATTTTTCTCTTTTTCCAAACTTATATCAAGATTATTTTCTAATTTAAATTCAGTATTTGTTTCTAATTTAATTCATTATTTTTTAGGACCTATTTGAAAATGTGCTGTATTCGTTTTCTTTCATTGAGCATGTGTTTCTTTTTTTTTCTTTTTTGTGCTCCCGATTTATGCATTTGGATATTTCTTGTACGCAGAAGATTCTGCGCACATATTTTTAAGATGAAAATTATCAAGTTGATAAATTTAAAAAAAATTATAAAAAATAATTTTTCTATAATAAATTTAAAAAAAAAATTATTTTTTTAAATTTATTATAGAAAATCAAACCACCACACGATTAAAAACATGGAAATCAACAAAGTAAGAAATTGCTGAAAAAAAAACAAGTCAAAAAGATTGAAAATGAAATGATTTAATATTTTAAATAATTGTTAATAACATTATTTAAAATATAATATAAGATGTTAAAGAAATATATTAACTAAGGAAAACAAATAAACATTTATTTTTATTTCAGGTATTCGGTAAAATACGAACTGCGAACCAATGCAAACTTTTTTGCGAACCATAGTTCAATTGGTTGTTAATGATGTAACATTTTTCATTTTCCGTTTGTTGTTAAATTGTTTATTTTACAATATAACTTTTTATGGACTAATTTATTTAATTTTATAAATCTTATTTACAAGAAATACTATGTAATTTAAATAAAACAAATTTAAATAAAATAAATTGCATTAAATTTAATTTAAATTAAAAAATTGATGAGCAAACATATTTTAAAATATCATAACTGTAGTGGTCATTAAAATATAATATCTTTGTTCGCAAAAAAGTTCGCATTTTTACTTATTTCATTCATTTTACATTTCCATATTTTTTAAAGTTCTTTTTTAAATTTAACGTTGCTCTTTCGAGTTAGCATAGCATAGGCGAAGACTAACAAATGACAAGTTTTGTAATTGCGGTGTAATGTCTTTCTTTCTATAAGTAACTTACCACTACTTTGCATTTATAAAACCAAAATATTAGGCTGAATTCTGATCAGAAATAAAAAATTTACGTCAAAAGACGGTTTGAACTAATCAGAGTTCAAACCGTCAAATCCCTTTACGTAAATCACATAGAACAAAAAAACTCTATTAAAAATATATATATATATTATTTATGGGCCCCTAAACTTTTATAGGCCTTGGTGCGGTGCATGACTGCACCCCCCTCTCAGAGGGCCTGACAATATATGAAAAATACTAACTACTAATAGTAAAGAAAATTGGTGTATAAATAATATTACCCCACCAAAACCTGTCATTAAAACCCTAAAATTTTACATTAGGTATTACTAAAAAAAAAAAAAAAATGATCTCTACATTTAAAAAAAAACCCCTAAATTTGAAAATTTGGACCCATTAAAGTAAACTTACTTGAGCCGCTCCCATTCACATAAAATATACATTGAATGAGCTTAATTGGTATACATATTGAGCCTGGCCACGAAACCCTAACCCTAACCCAGACATAATTCAGAAATATTTTTGTAGTTTATCAAATGGATGGCGATGTTTTTTGTCAAAAATAAAGTAAATGGATTTTTACAAACCAAGTAAGATATTTATTGTTTTAAAACAAAAATCATTAAAAATCTTATATTTAAATTTTCTCTATAATAAATGTTATTTATAAAACTCAATATGTAGATAAAAGTCTTGATAAAATTATTTGGAAGCACATCCTAAAAACTAATTATATAATCAAAATATACACGAAGCTTTCTTCTACTTTAATACAAAAAAAAAAAAAAAAAAATCAAAAAAATATAAACCTGCTCTAGTATTGAAGCTCGAAAATAATACTAAGTTTTTTTAATATAAAAACTGCTTTTTTTAATAAAAATAAGCTCTGAAGCTTAGAAAAAATTAAAGTACGTTGCGTTTTGCCTATTAGTAAAAACCATTGTCAGACAAATCTATTCGTAAATAAGTATATGTCTATGAATAATATAGGTAATTTTTTTTACAGGTCAGGCAAAGGTTTTACCCTTTGAAATAGTCTAAATCTTGAAATAGTTTGTTTATATTTAGATCCTCGAGAGATATGAAGAAAAATATTTTACGATACACACGCAGCAATTAACAATTTGTTTGTCTTTAGATTCTCGGGGCATGTACAGCGAAGTTTTTTACGATGCATATGCAACTATAAACGATTTGAAAAGTAAATTAGTGTATCCTCGCTTATCTAATTATGATGAAATAATTAATATAATGGAAACATATAAATGTGCCTGGTATTGGAACTGTGGTATTAGGGTTCGTGGTTGGATCATATCACCTCAGAGTGGAAATCACATATTTTACACCTCGTGCGATGATTTCTGTTTACTCTACTTAAGCGATAATAATGACCCCTCAAATGCTCGCCTCATTGTTTCTCAAAGTACGTATACAGACCCCAATGACTGGTTTCGGTATTCATTTTCTTATTTTCTGTATAAATTTATTTTTGTTTTTGTTATTCGCGTAGGCAAAAAAAAAAAGCTTATGACAAGTTTTTTTAAAAACTGAAACTTTCGCTCAAAAATATTTTTATTTTAAATAAAAATTTTGTTTAGTTATCCATCTATGCAAACATCTAGCTTAACGTATTTGAAAGAAAATTGTAGTTATTATATAGAAGCCGTAAATTTTAATTCGAATGGTCCTGGTTTTTTGTCCATGGCCGTAAAAATGCCGAATAATGCTATGAATGGACCATTACCTAATGGCATGATGTGCTTTATGAGTAAGTTATAAAAAAACACAGAAGAACAAGTTTATCATTTTAAGCGCGTTTAATATTTAATATACGTTTAATATTTAATACAAATTTAAAAATTTCTTTAAATTTAACAATAAAATGTTAACAGCCGTGTAAAAATATCAATAAAAAAATGAAAACATCTTGAAATACTAGAAACAAGTTTAAAAATATGTATTTGCTTTCGGTACGCTTATTAACCAATACTAATATAAAAATTACAACATATAAATAATACGCAACAATTAAAATACAATAATTACAACACAATAATACACTCAACATATTTCCTTGTAGTACACCTACATAATACATATATTAGGGTGACTCCTAAAACAACATTTTAAAGAAATATTTGCTACTAACCCATAATTAAGTGTTTGTAATAAAAATAAAAAAGTAATTCTTTGCAAAATTTATTTTCAGAGACAACTCAAAACCCTTAAACATCAGACGGGGGTATTAATATTATGAAGCTTTTTTTTAAGTATGAAATAGGGATTGTAATACCGTTTATCGGTTTACCGGTTTATCGGTAAATACCTTAAACTTTTTATTGGTAAATTTTGTAATTTACTGGTAAATCAAGCTTTTTACTATGTAAGGATTGTTTTAATTCGTATTCGCTGATTTTTTTTAACATACTATAAATATTAAATAAATTATTTATTTTCTTGTCAATAGATTAAAAATTAAAAAAATAAAAGTGTAAAGCATTCTTTTGTTTGAACTTAACGCTTGAGTAAACTTAATTAAGTCCTTAAGGACTCTTATTAAACAGCGCTTGAAGTAAGTTTTGCCTTGTTTTGTTAATTTTTTATCGTTAAAGAAAATTTTTTTTTTTAATTTCGTTTTAAAAATTGTTTTAAAGTACTTTTAATGGATAAAAATTCATTTTGGAATTACTATAATCGTACACAAACATAAGATATAGCCATTTGTAAACAATGCAATGTCAACATAAAATTAACATAAAAGAACGTGCATAAGAACCGCCAGTTTCAATAGCATCGAAAATTACTTATTTTATCAAAAAAGAGTCGAATCTCTTGAAGCTATACTTTCAAGTATGATTGTAAAAGATGGCATTCCTTTCAATAAATTTTGTACATCTAAAAATTTAAAGATGTTACTAAAAACAAAAGGGTACGGAGCTACCGTTAACAAGAGAACGGTAAAGTTACTTTATAAAAACCATCAGTTATGAATCGTACATGGTGTTCAATTGGCAACCATAAACGAACTTTATAATATTCGTTCAACAAATGTACAAGATGTTAGTGAACATGATGCTAATGTATTACTTAATGTTTATTCTGGTTCTGATTATTTAGAAATTGAACTTGAAAATTTTGAAGTAGAAGATATCACGAAGATATCTGCATTACCCAACTTGTTCTACAAAACGCAGAGCTAAATTACGAAAATTCGGAAAGTTGTAAAACCTTTCAGAAAATCACCAACCAAAAATGAATAACTACTACAAAAATACGTTAAAGAAACTGTCGAAAAAAAACTTTCTTTAATTTTAGAATGTAAAACTAGATGGTGTAGTTTATTAAGCATGCTGGAAAGAATTTTAAACATATAGATGCTGTTTGAAAAAGTCTGATAGATTTAAACATTGACATTGATTTTGATGAAAATGAAGTAAAATTACTTTTAAATATAATATCAAGCTTGCAACTTATTAGATTGGCCGTTAAAACACTCTGCACTGAAAAGGTTTATCTATATATTTAACCTATCTTAAATTAAAATTTATGTTAAACATGTTAAGTAACCAAAAGACTTTTTTAAGTATTGCACTAAAAAATGAATTAATAAATTGTGTTAAAGAAAGAATGACGTTTTCAGACGTATAACACTATATAACAGACCCTAATGATATTATTTCTGTTAAAGATAATTATGCCATTTTTAATATCAGCAATAATGCCGCAGTTATTAAAACTATTGTTGACATTGTAGAAAACATTTTGTACAATAATACGAAATCTGGTGAGAGTATTTAAAGGCACCTAAATGAATCAGATTCGGATTTAAATAACAATCTCATTACTGTTAAACCAAATCTTATTTTTCTATAAAGGAAAAGCTTCATCTTTTTCCTAAAAAATAAACGAACAAGAATAAAGGAATAACTGTTTTAGAAAAAAGTAGTACTTTTGACATAGAATAATACGAGGGAAGTACATTCAAATAGTTTTTGACTATTTGATGACTATTCGTCCAACAAGTGTTGAATCTGAAAGAGTATTTTCAGATAAAATAGTGATGATCAAGTTTTACAAAAATATTCTTAAAAAAACTTTAAAAAAACAAATAAAAAAAAAAACAACAAATAAAAAACAATGAATAGATTAAACTTCTCTACTTATAAAAATAAAGTTTTTATGCATTGATAATTTACTGCACAAATATTTAATAAAAAACAAACAAACAATTTTTTATATCCAAAATTTTTTTTAAATTATCGAAACCCCCTAATGTTTAAAGTTCTTGAGTTATCCCTAAATAATAAAATCTAAAATAATATTATTTATAAAAAAAAGTTTCAATCTTAAAAACTTTTTAAAGAAGCCAAACTTTGCATTACATAATTTTATTATGAAGAGTACGCAGTGGCGGATTAAGTCTTCTTGGGGCCCAGGGCTATTTTTGTTTTTGGAGGCCTTTTTATGGGACAGAGCCTAAAAATGACTTAATAAAAAAAAAAAAGATCCTCTAAAATTTTTTGGGGCCCCTAAATTTGCGGGGCCCGGGGCTATAGTCCCCCCTAGCCCCCCTTGATCCGGCACTGAGAGTACGTTAAAGTAAGTATATACATATATATATATATATATATATATATATATATATATATATATATATATATATATATATATATATATATATATATATATATATATATATATATATATATATATATATATATATATATATATATATATATATATATATATATATATATATATATATATTATAGATTATAAAACTATTATTATTTTTTTATTATGTTAATACTTTTGCTTTATTTCCATAAATAAATCATTTGAACATATTTTATATCTCTTTCAAATAGTCCACCAAACATTTCAGTATTTAGTTTGACAACCTTAAGCCAATTTTAGCTAACCACTCCTACAAAGTTCTTCCATTGTGGCATGGATCACTATCCTGTTAAAAAATCTATTCTCTATCACATAACCACTCCATGCCTTGAGGAATTAGACAACTTTCTTGCACTTTGATGATTTTGTTCTGGTAAATTGTTCCCTCAACTATGTGTAGTCGACTATGTGTGCCGTATTTAGATATGGCTCCCCAGACCATGATTTTTGTTGGAGATTTCACAGTCTTCTTCAAGCAGTCATGTTTAAACACTTCTCATGACTTTCTTCAAACTGTCTGGACTCTGTCATTTAAGACTGCAATGGTAGACTCATCAGAAAAGACCAACTGAAAATAAAGTGACCCTTTAAACAAAAATTGAATATTTGATAATTATATATATAATATATTATTCTCAAGTTTAAAATCTAACTGTATATAATTTTATATTTAAGTAAAAATCATGCCATTAAAATGTTCAAAAATTATTGAAAAGGGTGTCTATATCCTTAACTTGCTCCAATCTTCTTCTATCCAGGTTTCATCCTCCTTGGCTCATTGATATCGCTGTGCCTTTATTGAATTTGTTAACCTAAATTTCTCTTTAGATCAATATGCCTTCAGCCCAATTTCGAAAAGGTGGTTGTTCACAGTCTGGCGTCTTGAAAGTATACCTTCTTTGGCTATGTGTCTTTTGACCGCTTTTGACCACACTTTTAAACCCTTAAAATGTCTGCTTAATGCCTAAAATTTTTTCTTCACAAACCTAGAGTTTGTACAGACGCATACAATTTCTCAGCAATTTCATTGTGCTTCAGTCCGCTGTTTTCAATCAAAATCCTTATTTGGCCTTTTTCCTTGGACTTTCCTTTTACCTATGCTCAATTCTTCACTAATAAAAAAGATAAATTCTAAAGATTTCCAACAAAACCTGTTTCTCTTTGTTTAGAAACGAAAGTAGAATAGATTGGATAATATTCCAACACAATGACTTGAAAACTGATTTAAAAATCCGTACCCATCTAAAAATGCCTATCCATTGGATGTTGCCCTGTTTGCGGACTAATCACTTTAAAAACCATTTACGACCTTAAAATTGAAGGGCAGGCATGATATAATTGATCCACATGATCAATAATATAAAGTATATGCATATGGTTTATGCATTTTACTTAATGAAAATTCAAAAATTAATTAGAAAAACAATTTTGTGTGTCTAAAATTTGAATTTCATAACAAATATATATATATATATATATATATATATATATATATATATATATATATATATATATATATATATATATATATATATATATATATATATATATATATATATATATATATATATAATGTAAATATATATATATATATATATATATATATATATATATATATATATAAATATATATATATATATATATATATATACATATATATATATATTAAAAGAAAATTTGGATATATATATCTATATATATATATATATATATATATATATATATATACATCCAAATTTTCTTTTGATATATATCTATATATATATATATATATATATATATATATATATATATATATATATATATATATATATATATATATATATATATATACATCCAAATTTTCTTTTGATATATATATATATGTATATATATATATATATATATATATATATATATATATATATATATATATATATATATATATGTATATATATATATACATATATATATATATATATATATATATATATATATATATATATATATATATATATATATATATATATATATATATATATATATATATATATATATATATACGTGGGTGCATATATGTAAATATTAAAGGTAATTTCTTTATATTATCAT